AAGCATCGTGCTGGTTGCCCTCAGACGATCTGGCCTCCGGCGCTGCACCGCGGCGGCGGCCCCGCGGCGGCGAGGGCGAGCGGGGCGGGCGTGGGGTAGGAGTAGACGCAATCTCACAAAGGCGGGTCTCCGCCATCTTCTGCGCTTCCTTGAGCTCGTTAAGCTGCTGGCAAATGACGTCATACCGAGAGGCTAGGGCAATCTCAGTGGCGGTGTCCATGCTTTCGCCGTCCTTCACGATGAATTCAGATCACATGGCTTCGATCTTGGCGTCCTGGGCCCTGAGAGCCTCCGAGAGATCCTGGGCGAGCTGCTGGTGGCGCTGCGAGATGTTACGGCCCATGAGGGTGACCTGGTCCGAAAGTTCACTGCGTCGAGAGATCGAGCCAGCAACTGATTGTTTCAAGTTGGCGACATCCGCATTGTTCTGCATCATCATCTGGCTGAGGGGCGAGATGCTCCCTGAGATAAGCCCCAGCTTGCCCATGACATCGTCCGTGTGGCAAGACCCTTCTCGGTGGGCGTCGGGCGTCCTGCTGGCGCTGCGGCGCGCAGAGGATGAACTCCTGTAGTCACTTCTGGAAACAGCTCCTCTTCTGTCAGACCGTCGCCCCCCTATCGCGGCAGGCTGAGAAAAGGGGAAGCGGGACCAAAGTTCGACGCCACAAAGCACGGGCACTGAAGCTCCAGTGCTGCGAGGCCTGTCCTCGCAAGGGTGGCGCTCTGAGCCGTCCCCTCGGCCGCAAGCAAGCTCGAAGCGCCAGGGAAGCGTTTCGAACTTGAGCCAAAATGGCTGGGCTATCCTTGGGCGTCTTGGGGGGCCCCGCGGGAAGCTGGGAGGCGCGGTACCAACCAGATGTCAGGGGACGTGTGGGATCTCCAAGTAGGATTCCACTTTGAAAAACAAAGGGCGGGCGCGGTACCGGGCGCTTCTTCTGCAATTTTGGGGGTTTCTTGGTCCGTCTTGGACCCGTCCTGAGTCTTTTGGGCAGTCTTGGGGCGGCCTTGGACTGGAAGCTCGAAAACGCAAGAAGACCAAAACATAAACAAAAACAATCAGAATCGACGATTTTGGCATCTTCGGGCTTTCCTGGGACGCCTCTCGGACCTCTCTTGGAGCCTTTTTGGAGGCCTCCTCGGAGCGTGGAGAGCCGTCCACAGGGTGTATTGGACTGCTTGGGAGCGTCTTGGGCCGTTCTTTACGTTCTGGGAGCTTCTTGGGTAGTCATGGGCTGTCCTTCGGCGTCTTGGGGTCTCCCCAAGAAGCCGGGAGGCGCAGTACCAGCCAGATGTCAGGGGATGTGTAGGACCTCCGAGCAGGAGTCCCACTTTGAAAAAAAGGCAAGTCCGGGAATTCTTCCTTCTTTCTTTGGTCAAATCCTCGATCTTTGAGGGTTGGAAACGGGAAAACGTGAGAAAGCGAAATTATAGGAAAACCGTAGGAAATCAACGATTTTACTCTCTTTGGGCTCTCTCGGGACGGCTCTCGCAGCTCTCTTGGCCTGTTCTTAGAGCCTCGTCGGAGTCTTTCTGGGGCCTCTCAAGGATCGGGGGGGTGTTGGGCGCCTCTGGGGGGTCCTGGAGGGAAGCCTCCTGCTCCCACTCTTGGGCCCATCTTGGGCCTGTTTTGGGGTGGTCTTGGACTGTCCTGGGCGCCTCTTCGGCAGTCTTGGAGCCTTCTTGGCCCGTCTTGGGGCCGTCCTGAGGGTCTCTTGGGTGGTCTGGGGGCGGCCTTTTCGGCGCTCTGGACCCTTGGAAGCTCGAAAACACGAGAAGCCAAAACCATGGAAACAAAAACAATGCAAATCTATGATTTTGGCCTCTCTGGGCCGTCCTGGGACGCCTCTCGGACCTCTCTTGGGGTCTCTTGGAGGCAACTGGGAGCCTCGAGAGCCGTCGGAAGGCTGACTTGGGCTGCTTGGGAGCGTCTTGGACCATCCTTTCGCATTCTGGGGGCTCCTGGGAGGCGTCTTGGGCCTCCTGGGGCGCTGTGGAGGCTCCCCAGAAAAGCCGGGGGAACGGTACCGGGAGCGTCCCCGAGATGTGGGACCCGGGGCCAGGGGGGGGCGGCATTTATGTATTTATGGATTTACATATTTATTTACTGCTTTTCACTGATTATATATATATATACATACGTACGTAGGTACGTACGTAACTACATTCACACATACATGCATACATACATACATACATACATACATGCATACATACATGCATGCATGCATACATACATACACACATACATACACACATACACACATACATACGCACATGCACAATACATACATACATACATACATACATACATACGTACATGCATACATACATACACACATACATACGTACATACAACCATACATACATACATACATACATACATACATACATACATACACACAAACATACAACTACACATAACTTCATACGTACATGCATCCATACAAACACATTTCTATATATATATATATATATATATATATATACAAATACAGATGCATATACATACACAACTGCATATATATATATATATATATATATATGCATCTACATATGCATATCCCTATACACATGCGTATACATATACACATACACATACACATACATACATACATACATGCATGCATACATACATACATGCATACACACATACCTACATACATACACACATCCATCCATCCATCCATCCATCCATCCATCCATACATACATACATACTCGTATGTTTGTCCCAAGCCTCCCTTGGTTGGGTTCTCCTTTTGAATAAAGCAATGGGGTCTCCACCTTCTCCTTGTCCTCTTCGCCCTCCAGCTCTCCTCTCGGTTCTCTCCTGTCGCAACCCTCTTGGGGGCTGCGAAGTGTGAAGCGGTCGCAACTTCGGGGGCTGGGGGAGCCCGTACAGTGGGGCCACACGCTGACCCCAACAAAAACCTTGCCATCCTGAGTGGGGGGGCTGCGAATTGCGAAACTGTCGCCGCTTTCGAGGGCTGCTGGGGGAACTCGCACAGTAGGGCCACACGCACCTCCCAAAAGAAACGCCATCCCTGGGGGCTGCGAAGTGTGAAGCTGCCCCCACTTTCGAAGGCTGTTGGGGGAGCCCGCACAGCCTGGCCCAGACGCAGACCCCCAAAAGACCTCGCCATCCCTGGGGGGCTGCGAAATGTGAGTCTGTCGCCACTTTCGAAGGCTGCCGGGGGAGCCCGTACAGTGGGACCACACGCAGACCCCCAAAAGACCTCGCCATCCTGGGGGGGTCTGCGAATTGAGAAACTGCCACCACTTTCGAAAGATGCAGGGGAGCCCGTGCAGTGGGGTCCCACGCAGACCCCAAAAAGACCTCGCCATGCGTGGAGGGCTGCGAAGTGCGAAGCAGTCGCCACTTTTGAGGGCTGCTGGGGGGAGCCCGTACAGTGGGGCCACACGCAGACCCCCCAAAAAACCTCGCCATCCCGGGGGGGGGGGGCTGCGAAGTGTGCGACTCTCCCACTTTCGAAACCTGCTGGGGGGGGGCAGCACAATGGGACCACACGCAGACTCCCAAAAAATCTCGCCATTCCTGGGGGTGCGAAGTGTGAAGCGGTCGCCACTTTTGGGGGCTGCTGGGGGGGCCCGCGCAGTGGGCCCACACGCAAACCCACCCAAAAAACCTCGCCATCCTTAGGGGGCTGCGATGTGCGAACCTGTCGCCACTTTCGAAAGCTGCCTGGGGAACCCGTGCAGGGCCACACGCAGATCCAAAGGGGACCTCGCCATCCTGGGGGGGGGGGGAAGCGCGAAACTGTCCCTACTTTCGAGGGCTGCTGGGGGGTCAGCACAGTGGGGCCGCACACAGACCCCCCAAAGACCTCGCCATCCCTGGGGGGCTGCGGGATGTGAATCTGTCGCCATTGTCGAAGGCTGCTGGGGGGGCCAGCACAGTGGGGTCTCACGCAGATCCAAAGGGAGCCTCGCCATCCTGATAGTGGGGCTGCGACATGTGAAACTGTCGCCGCTTTCGAGGTCTAGCTCCCGCGCTGAAAGGTGCAGGGAAAAAGCAGAGAAGCTCGTGAGCGAGCTCGGCATCGCTCGCTTCTTGCACTAGCTATGCGGAGCTCATCTTGTGGAGCGTGAGCGACATGGCCCGGGCCGCGATGTTTGTCCAGCGTGCCGCTGGATATATTAATCGACTCCATCCTTTCTCATCCTGCCTATTTCGTTGTCGTCCTCTTCCTCCTTCACCATATCACTTCTGCTATCGCGTTAAGTGTTCGGCACCTCTTCCGTCCTTCTCCTGCTCCTCGTTCCTACCTCTATTTCCTCTTCAAGCCTGGAGCCTCAATCCTCGTCGCTGTGTTGCTGTCCGGTGAGTCGTGCAACGCGCGCCTCCCACGTACTTTCCTGCACAACAAATGACAAATCTGGTGTTGTCATCAACCATTATATTCTGGACCAGCTCCTCTTGTCACTTGATGTAACTGGGTTGGATACGTCGCGTGGCATTACGACAGGGACGGCGTGGGTGTCGTAATGGCCTGCTGTGCGCAAGGCCACCAACCAGGTAAACAAAACAATGCAAGCTGTCACCCGCGATCAAATTGCATGGGTTTTTGGTTGGGACGGCGGGGGTGCTGGCATATTGCCTGCTGTGCGCAGGCCCACCGGACATCATGACGGCCACTCCGCCGCGATTGTGCAGTAGTTTTCGACAGGGACGTGTCGCACCTCGCCCCAGCCCCGCGCACCTGGGGTCTGCATTGGTTCCCAGTAGCTGTCCATCCAAAGACGACCATTGAATCTGCTGAGGCTCAGGTACTGCTAATGTGTTGACAGAGCGGGTGGGGGTGAGCCAAACAGAGGTCTCGACCCCTTCCTCTACCACTTCCCTGGGTCTGTAGGGAGTGTGCGTGGGGGGAACAGTTAGGGCGTCCAAGATGGCCCAATAATGCTCCAAGATGCTAACCTCACACGGCCTCCATGTTAGCATAAAGTGATGCAACAATCGCTGTTCAAACTACGTGGGTCCTGGGCGGTGAAGCGCGCGGGTCGCTGCTCGGCGCTGGGGCCGCCAGCGGGAGCCGGCACTCCACCGCGACGCCCGACATGGCCGCCGCCCCCGCCCACTGCAAGCGAAAAGCGACCGCGGCGCGGCCGCGGGGGGAACGGGGCGGCTCGAACCAGAACTGGCCGTGGGAGGAAGAAGGGGAGGAGGAGGAGGATGAGGAGGAGGAGGAGGAAACGGACGGAACCATATCTCCGACGTCGTTGTTTCACCAAAATATTTGTTTGACAGTCCCGGGGCCCGGCGAGGGCCCCCCAAAGCCGTAAATGGCCAAAGGCCGACCGTCATGATGTCTTCAAAACGAGAGCAGGTGGGGGAAGGAGGGGGAAGTGGAGGAGGGAGGATGAGTCCCGCCCCTTTCTCCAAGGCCGGCTTTTCGTCACGCTTGGTCGTTTGAAAGACCCAGGGCCGGGAAACAGCCCCCGGAGGCGCGAAAAACTGTGCAGGTTGGCCAGAGGGCTCCAAACTGTGTTATTGCGCTGTGGAGATGAAAGCTGTGCGGTGTAGGCTATGTGTTGAAAATAATTTCTGTTCGCAATGAGTTGTCCACTCCACTGCTCGCGCAAACATTCTACCCACCCACCCGCAACTTGGTTTGCAAAATCTCTTAAGACCGTGACGGTGGGTACCAAATGGCACTTCGCAACGACAGCGACGCCGACGACGACAGCGACAACGACGACGACGACGCCTCCGACAACGACTGCGACGACACCGACGACGTCTCCAACGACTTCGACGACGCCATCAACGACGACGACGACGACACCGACGACGGCGATGACGACGCCGACGCCGACGACGAGACGACGATGACAACGATGACGACGATGACGACGCCGACGACGACGACAACGACGACACCGACGACGACGACGACGTCAACAACGCCGACGACGACGACGGCGACGACGACGACGCCGACGACGACGAAGACGACGACGACGCCGACGCCGACGACGGCGACGACGACGCCGACGACGACGAAGACGACGACGACGCCGACGCCGACGACGGCGACGAAGACGACGTCGCCAACGAGGACGACGACGAGGGAGGAGGGAGGACGACGACGGCGACAACGACGACAACGACGACAACGAGGAGGGAGGAGGGAGGACGGCGACGACGCGAACGACGAAGGAGGAAGGACGGCGACGCCGACGACGACAACGACGAGGGAGGAGGGAAGACGACGACGACGACAACGACGACGACGACGGCGACGAAATAGGAGGGACGACGACGAGACGCCGACGACGACGACGACGACGACGAGGGAGGAGGAGGAAGGACGACCACGGCGACAACGACGACGGAAACGACCACGACGCCAAAGAGGACGACGACGACGAACACGAAGAAAGACAGAGGACGACGTAGGCGACGACGACGACGCGGAAGGAGGGAGGACGGCGACGACGACGACGACGACGCAAGAGCGCGCGCGCACGCATTTGTTGAACATCCGTGTTGTGTAACCTTGTGTTTTTTGTAGGTTTTTCGGACACGCGATGTTGAAATCCTTCCAAAGCCGACGGGTTTGGAAGGATTTCGGCTACGCGCGCGACGATGCGCGCGTCTGCACTTCGTCCCTTTTTTGCCGAGGATTCTCGCGACGGCACACGCGCAGGGGCGTTCGATAGATTTCGACATGCGCGCGCGCGAAGCCCGTTTGGTAGCATGTTGTGAAAATCTTGAAAAACCTGTGGTTTTCTTAAGATTTCACAAAAAGCTCGCGCGTAAGCTTTTTTAGCAAAGCAGTGTTGCGAAACCCTGTGTGTTTGTATGTTTTTTTTGGGAAGCTCGATTGCGAAATCCTTCCGAAACCGAAGGTTATTGGAGGATTTCGGCATGCGCGCGCGACGGCGCGCGCGTGTGCACTTCGTCCCATTTGTTGCAAGGGATTCGTGGAAAAAAGTGCTATGTTCGAGCAAAAGATGTCCCCGCGCAATGTTTTTTTATAAGAGAACCTAGGGGGGTCGATACCGGTTCCCCTGGGATATGTAAATTCAAATTTAGGATGGACATGTGGTCAGAATCCTAATGATTTACATACCCGAAAGGGGAGCGGATAACGCCGGCGGGGGGGGTAGAGTCTATCTTCTTTTTAGAAAGGAGAATTTATATGATGTAACCTTTGTGGTGTGAGATATGGGTGTGAAGTCTTTGCGATGTGCGCTGTGGCGTCAGCTATCTCGTGTAAGCTACGCGGTGTGAGCTGGAGGTTGCAATTACGGGAAGTAGTCCACCTTCCAGAACTTGAAATCGTCAAATCCATTGCGCAATCATCTCGCCCTTCCACCCGGAACTTATTTTGCAAACCCATGGGGCCACGACTGCGGTGACTGCTTGGCCCTGGCTGGCGCAATTCTGCGGCCGCGCTGGCGCACGCAAGCTCGGGCGCAGAGCGGCAAAGTGGCTGGGGCCGCGACGGCGATTACCGACGGCAACTTCCCACCGCGTGTCAAAAGCCGGTGCTGGCGCGCGGGCACTTCTGTGCGGGTCGGTGGTTTGGGCGAGTGCGGTATCATGATGACTTCGACAAGGGCGGCAACGATGACAACAACTACAAGCCTCGTCAAACATAAACAGAAGACTTCTGGAGTCTGTGGTTGTGGGGTCAGCGCTACTCCAATGCTGACGGATGCCTGTTGGCTCGGACGCGGTGTTGTCCAACAACCGACCCCGCCCTCTCAGCATTGAAGAACGCGCTTTCTGACGAGTGCCCGAAAGCACCGTGCTCCAGGATTTCAACGTCCATTTCTGGATACTTTGGCGAGGCTTGTAGTAGCGGTGGTGGTGGCAAAGATGACGATGACGACGGCAAGGCCAATGATGGCGCCGATGCTGGTAACGCCGATGACGATGATGATGTCGATCTGTCGATGATGGTGGTTGGGTGCTGATGGCGGCAATGGTGGAGATTGGCGGTGACGATGAAGTAATGCGGCGGCGCTGATGAGGCTGATGGTGAGGAAGTGCGCGCGCGGAAAGGACATCGGCGGCTTCATCTCGCCTGCGTCCTGCGCGGTGGCTTCTAGCAAGGACGTGGGGCGCTCCTTGTCACGTGAATTCAGCCATCTTGAATCTGATCTTCCTCTTTGAACGTTTGCCGAAGATTTGTGTGCCATCACAACGGTCGACAAACGCCGCCGTGCATGGAAATTGAAGGTGCGTCGTGCCGTGGCTTTCTGCCGATCCCGCGAAATTAAATACCTTGCCTCTCTTCGTGGTAACTCGAGGAAGGTGTTCAAGCCTGGTGTGCTTTCGGTGGGCTTGTGGGCCCATGGCGTTCTGGGACTGCCTCCTGTGGGAATCCGCAACTTTCGGGCTGCCGCAGCGAGTGGTTCGGGCTTCTGGAATTCAAGGGCTTGCACGTCTAGTGTCTTCAATTTGTTATTTGTATCGGGCAACTTGCTACCTTCGCGGACGTACGGGTTTCTCTCCCAGCTGGTACCAGGAGTGGAACACACCGAGCATGGTCTCGCTTTTCGCTGTTCGCCCTTCCTGGTTCTGAACGATGGCGTAAAGTTAAAGGTCCACTTAGTGCTATATTGACTATCCTGAACCTTGGCTGGGTGCCCCGTCAGGCTGATCTTTGTGCAACTCCTGGTTCCCCACCGCTACGGCTTACTGCCCCTGATCTTGAATTTCATCTTGTCAATCGTGTTCGCACCACTGTTTCAGCCCAGACAAGGAGGCTGCCGAGCACTATTGTGCTCAAGGAGTGCAGGATGTTCGTGAATTCGCAATCTTCCGCCACTTGCACCAGTCTCTCTTGGAAACTTTGGACTACCAGCGTGCAGGCATGCTGGTCAATATTGTTGTTGGCGCACGTTGGCCACAGGGACGGCTCCGTGACTCAGGCTATCGAACTAGTGGGAAGTGCCCATGCTGTGCCGACGAAGTTGATTGAGACGTCCCAGCACAGGTGTTGGGCATGCCCTAGTACTGATTATCTGGAGGACGCTGCGGTGCTCACCACTCACGAATTGAAGCATGAAACCATTGCCGCCGACCTCAACTCTCCGTTCTCGAATCGTGGGCCCCCTGGTTCTCGGGATATTGTTGGTCGTGTACCTTCCCTCTGGACCGTGGCCTGGGGATGGGCCTTTTTCCTGCATGAGCGTCGGGTTCACACTGGAAGTTGGGGCCTCGATGGTTCTGGAGGCCCTCATGCCAATAGTATGTATCGCCTTCGCCGGTGCGCCTGGGCTATAGCTAGGCTTGCGCCTCAAGATGCCGACGCATTGGAACATGAATTCGATGATGACGATGATGATGATGGTCATGATGATGACGAGTATGAGTTTCGTTTGGACCCGGTCATGTGTGGTTCCCTCCCGACGGTTGCCCAACGTAGCCCCCGTGCTGACCTCTACGCCTTTCTCATGGTCCTTCGGCATACGCGGTTGATGCTGTTGTCCATACTGTCTTCATGCTTCTAGTCCGAGCTATGCATAAGCCGCGAGCTTAGATTAGCAGCTCGACCTCGATGGCCGATCTCTGGGTCCTGATTTGGGGTGCGATCAATGCTCGGGGTCCTGGTCGGGTTGCCGTTATGTGGACTAAGTCTCATGCGCCCCTGGAAACTCATGACCATTTTGGAATTTCTAGGGCCGGGTTTTCCCTGAATTAGTGTGCTGATATCTTTGCGGGATGGGCTGCCAACAAAGTTGCGGTTCCAGAGGCCATTGTTGAGGCCATCCAGCAGGTAAGTTCTATGACTCACAGCGTGGTGTGTCGCCAGCTTGCAATCGACATGGAGGTCGCCAAGTCCTGCCCCAGGACTGCGGCCACTCGGGTTGGGAAGCCCGCCCCGCGCCCGCATGCTATCTCGTCCTTCGCCACCCGTCAGCAACGTCTGAGGGCGCGGGGTCACGAGCCCAGGAAGCGCGGGTCCTCCTTCCGATGCCACATTTGTCAATGCAAATTCCCTCCCAGAGGGGCTCTGTTGAATTTCTGGCCAGGGCCGTGGCCCTGGCCCCCGTATCCACTCAACACATGATCCGATGCATCACCCGCTCTGTCCGCATTCTGCAGGTTGTCATGCCTTGAGTGCTGCGCGGTGTCATCTGTTGTTAGCGATGTGGTTCGCACGTAACTGTTCCAGCCCAG